GGTTTGGAAAAAGGGTGCCAGGCCGAAAACGGGATGCAGCCGAAACAGCAAAAGATAGACCAGGGATCGAGCCCTGGCGAAGTCCGTAACAATATGGGTTGCTGAACTCTGCGCTGATGAGCGTTGGTGACTCGAACTCTGAAACTGTTTAATATGATAATTCGTTGGAATCTCTAAGCTGCGCTAAATTGGACTTTGCATCTCCTATCTCCAGTGTGGATTTTGTGTGACCTCTCAATGCGTGTGGGTGCTCAAGGTGACGAGCAGTGTGGCTCGATGCAATTGGTATCAGAGCTGGTACTCACGGCATCCGCTGTTGATGATCGCTGGCAAGATTAAGGCCGACGAGTTGAGATTTGGAGTTTGGAGGTCGAAGGAGAAGTGGCCGACAATGGGGGTGTTGAATACATACCTGCACGCGTGCAGCGTCATCATAGGAACGATGACAAGTGAAGTTCATCTCCCCCATGAGCCCTGCATTTGCTTTCATGGATGGATGAGTGTCGTGTGTTCCTTCCCACGTCTTGGTGTCGCTGCTGCTGGATGAAACACCCGGTGACATATCTGATTTTGTCTTGAGTCAGCATCTAGTCAGACACGTGTATGAAGTAGGTTGAGTCTAGGCTAGACGCTCGGCAGCTGGATGACTCACCCGTACGTAGGAAGCATGGGCATGAGCAGCGAGTGCTCGTAAAACAACTCGTCGATCCCCAAGACCAGTACTAACCGGCATGCGACCACCGGAGCTGACACAGTGAGGAGCTAAAAGTCTTGAGAGCGAACGTTCAGATCCTGGTGGGCACGACATCTTGTTTGCGTCATTAAAGAATTCATGAGGTCCTTGTTGGCTGACCTTAAACTGTTGGTTGCCCACCAGCCTGATAGGGGAGTTGTAGTGACACTGTGGTGGGGGGAAAACTTAGGCAGGTCAGATTCCAATTTAGATTATGTCAGGCTAAGTGTTGAGGGTCAGGTCTGCGTGGCGAGGAGGTGGAGGTTACGTACCTGTACTTTTGATCACTATAAACGACTACCCAATGTTTGCATTCTTGACCCAGTCCGTGCTATAGGGTCCACTTCGTCGCTTCCTTCCATCAGGCGTGTGGTATGAGCGTAACCATGAGGTACGGTGGGACCACACAGACATATACAGCTGACCAGCAAGCAGAAATTGATAGAAAGTTGGCTGAAAAGAAAAAAGAAAAGGAGGAGAAGAAGAGGAAGAAGGAGGAGGAAGTGAGAAAAATTGGAGCAAGAGAGAAAGAAGATGGAGGAGGAGAAAGAGAAGATTGAGAAGGAGATGAGAAGGAAGGAGGAAGAGATAAAAAAGGAATTGGAAGAAGAAGAAGAAGAAGAGGAAAATGCGGAAGAGAAGAAGAGGAGATGGCGGGGAGCAGCGTGTTGGAGACTTAGATTGGGTGGTAAAATTTGGGTTTGAATAGAGCATCCGCAAGAAACTGAAAAAGAGAGAGATCGATTTGTACCAAAGTTGCTGGCAACTAAGGACAAGGAGGAGAAAAATCTGTTGATAGAAGAAAAGAGAAGTGAGCTCAATCAAAAGTTGTTGGCCGCAAAAATTAAGAGAATTCGACAAAAAGAAAATAGTAAAGAGGAAGGGGAGAGACTCCAGGCATTGTTCATGAGCAAAAGGGAAAGCAGGTGGAAACTGAGGAATGCTGGAACCTTCTCACTGACACTTTGCTACACGTCACCCAGGAACTCTTTGCACTACAACGAGCCATTGGGAAGCTAGAACGGCACCAAAAGGAATTGGAGAGTACTTGGAACAACTACCTTAGTGCATCGTCCCACCAAGTTGATCATAGAATCATGCTGTATACACGCCAGTTAGATGACCTTTTCATGCAGAAACTGACTAACACCATCATTTCAGCAAAGTTGTCCTGGTGGTGGAGATGGGATGGTGCCGACGATGGGGGTTATGATAAGAAGGGAAAAGGTCCGAGGAAGGATGGAGGAAAGAAAGGTGAAGGAGACAAATTTGAGGAAGGAGAACGCCGAGAACATATGAAGGTTAAGATCCCTTGGACGTACATTGGGAAGAGGGAGGATAGGACTTTTCATTGGGAGGCGGTGATGGACGCTTACCTGTTCGCGCAGTTGATTTCGTATTGCCCATTGTGACGTTGTGCCTCGGGGTACTTGCTCCTCCACTCGCGAGGCAAGGACTTATTGTGTGTCCCACGAGACCATCGTCTTCGGACTCGCCTTCTCGGCGAGTACCATGACTCCCAACTCGCTGGCCATTTTGGAGTCAATCGCACTATTGCACTTCAGCAACGATTCCGATGGCCCGACCTCATTACCGATGTCACTCGGTATTGCGACTCTGACAAAGTTTGTCGATGAAGCAAGCCCCGCAACTGCAATCCCTACGGCGAGTTGTGCCCGATGCCTATCCCAAGGGAACCCGGCCTCTCCATTGCCATGGACGTCACCGGTCCGTTTCCCCGCGACCACCTCGGGCACGACGGCATCCTCACGACCGTTGACCGTTTGAGTAAGTACGCGTGGTTTCTCCCTTGCAAGTACTACGCCACGACTCCCGAACTTGCACGCCTCTTGCACACCGGCTGGATTTGCAGCCACGACGTATCGGAAGACATCGTCAGCGACCATAACACGTTTCATGACGGCTTTCTGGACTTCTCTCATGCAGGAATCCGGCACCAGATGAATCCGGCACCAGATGAAACCAAGTTCGGCTCGACATCCACAAATGGACGGGCAAACGGAGCGGGCACATCAAACCGCTCAAAGGATGATTCGTATGCTCATTCGTCCGGATTAGAAGGATTGGGTTGACCGCCTCCCCGACGTCGAGTTCGCCTACAACACTTCGTTGCATCCGGCGATTGGCGTGACTCCATTCGAGTTGCACCACGCTGGCCGGAAAGGCCGTATCTTCGCTGATCTTCTCCTCCCACGAACAGCCGACATAGACGCTGCTTGCTCCCCCGCTTCCGTCCGGAAGTATAGGGAATTGCTGGCTCAACCCGCGCGAACGTGCAAAAGGCTCAAGTCAGCATGCAACAACAAGCCAACAGGCATCGTGTTGTCAGAGGGCACGCTGTCCTGGCCCTCCGCTGCTTACCGGGCATCCACTCGCTTACCGCTGCAGGCCTGGTATCAGTCAGCAGGGTCGCGTGGAATTGACAGGCTAGGCCTTGTTACTAGGCCTTCCGATGGGACTGCGTGGGTTCGGCACCCTGCCTTACTGCGAGCGCAGGCCGTCCCACAACTGAAAAGGCCAATTGGGTTTTGTCAGGGTAGGAGAAAGGACAACATGGTGCACTTAGCCGCGCATCAGGCCTCGATGATCTTGATCTAAACTAAATGCAAGGGTGTGATAGCGATAGCCGGTGTTGTCTTCTCAACCGCACGCCAGGTTTCTGTAGTTGGGTTATAGGGTAGGTGCGGTGGCGACAGTCACTATCAGTAAAAGAGAAACACAGAGAAAAGTGAAGGAAAAGGGGTCGAGCACAGAGCCTCAGATCCGTGCCTAGACCTAGATCGTTGGTGCCCGATGGCTTTGGTGTTGTCTCGACGCAAGAGAGATTTAAAGCGTCGTCCCCCTCTCCTTATAATTATTATTATTACTATTGTTATTATTATTATTATTATTATTCACTTCTTTTACTTAATTTTCCCTTTGTCATTTTGTTGGAGGCTAACGGTTCAGTTTGAACTCCGATTGCAGCCTGGCGGTCTAGATCAGCCGTCCCTTCGTGTATCGCCTGTGGCTGAACTGTCCGGCTGAGCGTCGTGCAGTAGGTCCCCAAAAGAGGGGCAACCCGCGGCCACTTCGGTAGGAGGCTTATCACCCCATGGAAGGTCATAAGCCCCCTCCTTGCCATTGGACACGAGTACCCAACGAGAATGGGCCGACTACGTGTTTTGAAGGGAGAAGCACGTCCGCCGATACCCTGTTATGGGACCACTACGACGAGTCTAGGGGCCTCTTATGCCGATAGTGAAAGGACTAGTAGATAGCAGCGAAGTGCGCTGCTCGTGTTCCATTGATCTGAAAATATTGTGAGTGTCTCGTTTAAAACGCAGGTAGTCCTGCACACGGCAACCCTATAAGGGGAGGGGCTGTTGTGCTACACAGAGCTGGCCAACCCAGTCTGATCTGAGGACGGGGTAGTCGCGCAGGAAAGAGTCGCGGTCGACTTGGAGTCTTTGTGCCAAGTGCCCCGAGCGTGTTGCTGGAGTGTGGGTAGACAGCGGTTTCAAGCGTTGGCTATTGTAAAAAAAAAAAGAAAAAAAAAAGGTGACTATGGCGGACCGAAATGGCCTACGTGGCTATAGGCCAACGTACATGAGGTACTCCTGGATGTGGGAGCGCGAGGAGGAGAAGGGTACCTTGGTCGAAACTATTTTGTCCTACGGGAAGCCTACGGGGGAAGTGAGGTTAAAAATTAACGTGTGTGGTCACCGGGAGCAGGAGATGAAGAGAGATGAGGGACTACAGGCGGCTATCACAGGGGCTCGCAACAGGGCAGAGCGAAGGTGCAGGCGAGACGGAGTGACCGTAGGCATGCGAGTGACAGTCACCTACCATGAGGATGACTCGTCGACTGGGACTACAACCAGAGAGGTGCGGCGCGTCGATCGGGACTCCGAAGGAGAGTCTGAGATGAGTGACGCAGAGGCGGCTCAGTCTTGGCACGAATGGGGCCAATGGCGAAGGGACCACCCACCGACTGAGCCTGTTGAGAGCGGCCCAGAGGCCAATTCACGACAAAGAGAACAAGGTCGCTAGAAATTAAGTGTAAAAAGAATGCGGCAGAGGCCTGGTCTTGGATGGTCTGGAGCGGCTGCGACGGGAACACCTGCCTACTGAGTCTATGGAAAAGGGACCTGAGGCCACTTCACGGAGAGAGGTAGAGTGAGAAGTGACGGTGACGCGTGTGACAATCATGCTCAAGGACGAGAGAGTGGAGAGGCCCAAAGGTCAACGTGTGTTAGCAATCCTCAGAGAGAGAAGCGGGCAATTGCTGGACTACGAAAAAGGAAGGGTTGAGCACTCAAAAGAGAGGGAGAACATGCTACGAGGACGCTAAGAGTGAGAGGGGAGAGACACAAAGGGCAAAGGAGGTCTGAAGTAATTTACATATGACCACGGTGACGGTGCTCAACTAGCGGAGAGAGGGCAGTGCACGAAGTAGCCATGGTAGACGTCAGCCACTTCAGCAGGATTCTGGCCCCACTAGGTAGTCGTCATCAACCTGCAATTTGTGCAGAACACTGAAAAGGAACTTTGCGTCTTTGTCAGTTGACGTTGTGCTCTCTTCTGAGCGAAAGGCTCCGAGCGCGTGCTCAGGTCAACTAGTGTGAGATTGATGGGACTCTAAGCCCACTTTGGTTACAGTCAGAGAGTGAGGGAGAGAGACATTGTGAAGGAAGGGAGCAGTGTGCCAAGAGACAGAAGTGGGGAACTTTTAACGAGAGGAGGCGCACGTGGAACTATCGTACGGTTGATGTCAACTGCTCTCGGGGATCCCTGGCCTGTTGTGGCAAGGGGAGAGACTGAAAGGTGAAAGTCAGGCGAAACTCTAAAAACGCCTCCTCATCATTGCAGATATCATCTTCCTGCAAGCACTAGTTTGCCTTGTAGAGACGAAGCTTCAAACTTCTAGGGAGAGTCAGCTAGTACAGGCTGAATCGAAGATCGCGCTCTCAATCATGCCCAAGAAAGACGACTAAAGACGAGTGCGCGTCTTGTTCTTGCCATCGATGTCATGTCCTTTCCTTTGGGGCTAGCTTGTAACTAGTGAGGCGAGATCCAGTGGGCAACGACTGTTGAGGGAGGATTAGTTATGCGATCACGTTCTTGAAGTCGCTGATATCGATTCTTCCCCGAACAGGCTCGACTCGCAGAGTAGAAATGAAGATCATATTGTAATAATGGAGGGGGTTGGAAAGACAGTTGGAAGAGGGCACAAATATTCAGGTCTTGCACTACTCTTGACCGTTTGGCACGTCATGCTATGACCAAATGCTCACGCCCTCTCCCTCCCCCCTTTCTTGTAGACTTAAATTGTCGTGTGTGTATTTTCTCGTTCTGGGTCGACTGTTGCTGTTATGGGTTACTGTATAGATTCTTTGAGTTATTACTAAGGGTGACCTTGCCCCCTCATTGCTCAAGTTACCGTTTACCACTGCAAAACACTGACCCGCGTATCCAGTAGTCCGTCTACAGATGTTGTGATCCGGCCTCCTCTAATTGGACTGGGCTTAATGAGGTTAAGCGGCGGAGTGAGAACCTGAAAACCTCAGTGAGTAAAAGACAGGGCGAATACGGTTGTGAGTTGAAAAATCAGGTGATATGTTCCCAGGAAAGACCAAGTGCGTTTTGACGTCCTGACAAGATAAGATGTTTGTCGACCCTGCCTGAGAATTCTCTCACCTTATCATCACTTATGATCTTCGCGTCATTGATTTTGTGTAACGGTTCAAGCATGAGAATCGGTTGATAAGTGAGGCAGTAATGCCTGCTTTTCTTTAGACTTGAGTTAGTATGGCAATGCGGTGCAGTCTCAATCAGACGGATGAGATCTAGTGATGAGCTAAAACTCATAAACACCGGCTCCTCAAACCTTCAATTTTGGATAAAGGGAAATGTGAAGGTGATTTTGCAAGCTATTGGAAAATAGTTATGAATCATGACCTATGTATGATCAGGCCACGACCGAACTCGGCTGCGGCCAGGGGGTAACATAGTCGAGCACTATACGTCCGTCCCGGTTTGTTCTGACTACACTATGGCCGCCACCATTCCACATGCCAATGCCACCGTCGGCCGAACATGTCGGGCGGAGATACGGACATATCGACGTCCTTACCTTAATCAACAAATAAAAATCAGGCCGTCCGACTATGCCGGTCTTACAAACAATTTAAAAGAAGAGATCACACGCGCACCTTAAAGATTGCGCGCCCACACACTCTCCGCTCTAGTCAACCACCTAGTCCGCACATCTCACAGACGCAATCCGCACCTTGCACAAAATACTTTAGATTTTAGACCAACTTACTTTTCCTGTCCTTTGCAAAAACCAGGGCGGATACCCTCATTAGGTATTCGCACCGACACCGGCCACTCTTGGATGGCTTGAATCTTGTCCGATAGTAGACTGGTGCTTTCCGGTGTGACAAATGGCCCAAGTATTCCAGCTCTTGCCGGTCAAATTCGCACTTGTCGCGGTTGGCCTTGTACTTGGCACGGCGGAGAGTCTCCAACACTCGTCGAAGGTGCTCAAGATGATCCTCCAATGAACGGCTATAGATGAGAATATTGTCTAAGTAGACCATCATGAACCGGTCCAACATTGCACGAAACTTGTTCGTCATTGCCGCTTGAAAGGTCGTCGAGGCCAAAAGGTATGACCACCCACTCAAAATGCCCATACCGCGTCTTGAACGCGGATTTGTAACGACCGTGTCTCCAACACTCCTCGAAGGTGCTCAAGATGATCCTCCAATGAACGACTATAGATGAGAATATTGTCTAAGTAGACCAGCACGAACCGGTCCAACATTGCACGAAACTCGTTCGTCATTGCCGCTTGAAAGGTCGTCGAGGCCAAAAGGCATGACCACCCACTCAAAATGCCCATACCGCGTCTTGAACCGGGGTTTGTAACGACCGTTTGGTCGGATCGAGATTTGATGATATCCCAACTTCAAATCCAACTTAGAAAAATACTTCGCGCCGCCCAATCGCTCAAGAAGATCGTCGATGCGAGGAAGAGGCCCCACATTCTTGACGGTTTGCGCGTTGAGCTTGCGGTAGTCGATGCACAATCGTAGATCTTTGTTCTTCTTCCGTACGAAGAGAACTGGCGCGCGGAGGACCATAAGCTCCTCCTCGCTCATGCGATAAATGCAACCTTTCGGTGGCATGGCACCGGCCTCAAGAATGATCCTGTGAGAGATCGGTCGATCCGGGACCACACCGGTAGGTGACATGAAGATGTCGGCGAACTCGTCAAGCAACCGCACCACACGGGGGTTCGAAGACAAGTCCGTGGGTGAAGAGTCGGCTACCGCGACGATCCGTAGGAAACATAGGCCAATTTCGTGGGGCTGCTCTTAAGCACAAGTAGCTCGGAATGACTTGGCCGTCACCACTTGGCACCGAACCGAAGGGTGTGGAAGAGGAATAGTACATGACACTTCAGCGCCGAAGGCATCGCGAATGGTAAGAATCCGCCGGTGGAAGTTGACCGTGTGAGCCAAGGCATTCCCAAAATAATGTCAAAGTTCGTGTTCAAAATGTCAAATGTCACCGGTTCGCATGCATGAGGTGCGAAATACACTGGTACGCCTCAATGTAGCAGTCGATAAGTTGCTGCGTCCTTCCGTCCGCCAACTTGATCGCCGTCGGGTGTGCCTTCCTTCGAACTTGTGCACCAAGGCCAGCCCTTTGCATAAAGGCTTGGCTCATAAATTGCGAGACGCGCCGCTTTCCAGCAAAGTGTTGCAGGACGGTTGCCCAACTTGGATGTGGACATAGAGGAGCGGTGCGCTGTTGTCGTCGTATCGCTGATTGTGAAACTCGCGGGCTACTTTGGTAACCTACACAAGGATGTCCCCCACCACGACTTCGTCATCCGTCGGCGAAGTTCGTGGTGCATAGAAGGATAAGTACGTGTGAAGATGAGTGCATAGTGCTGCGCATTGCGGTCCCGGCAAGCGGCCCGTGGTCGGGAGAGGAGGCTATGCAAGATCCTCGGACGTGAGCGGGTCCAATACCTCTATGTTGAACTCGTGCACCGAATCCCGTGAAGAACCACTTGAAGACGATAAGTTGCCACTGTCGGACGGAGAAGATGCCACGCACACGTCTTGTCCCTGAGCTTGAGTACCCAGCGTAGGAACGAGCCGAGCAGCATAGTCCTCAAAAGAATAAAGAAGAGGAGGACTATCGACTTCCACATGTGCCTCAGAACGAAGGGCGGTCACCCGCGAAGTGACCGGTTCCGAAGGCGTCGAGAGTGTCGTTGAGTCACTCCCGACGGTGCTCAGTTTCCCGATTTGCCCTTGCCTTTGGACTGGTAGGCCATTATGTCGTGGAGATCGATGTTACACCACAGATAATAGCGAAATCTCATGCGTGCCTTGTATGCTTGCTCGGAGAGACCGTAATGGGACCATGGGGCTGGAGCTGCTGCGCCGAGCCCGGGGCTAGATGCGGTGTTTGTCTTTGCCTTGCCGCGTCCTCGGCCTTTGCCGGGGCGGCCACTGTCCCGGGCGGTTGCGAGTCTGTCCCCTTCATTGGCAGAGACGACCTTGCTAGTTTGGTCGTTTGGCGTTGCCGCCTCGACCACGACCACTTTCGGCCGATGCTGATCTCTTCTCAGGCCTGGCGCAGACGAACGCTGGAGATTCTTGGCCTCCTTGTTCGTGACAATAATCTGCGAGGCCTTGTCAAAGAGTTCTGTCGGTGTCATCAGAGTGTCCTCGACGTGAGTCAAGGCATTGCCCAATGTCGGACACGACCTCGAGATGAAGTAGTGTTTGATGGCTTTGAAGCCCATTTGGATGTCTGGGACATATGTCAAGTGTTGGTACTCGGCAATCTAGTCAACACTCGGCAGCGTGCCTTGTTCGAAGACCATCAGCTTGTCAATTGCCTTGATCTCAGGCGGTTCTACTTGGAACCGCTTATGCCACGCCGCCTTCAGATCATCCCAGCTGATCTTGGTATGCAAGTCAACAGCTACCACTCCGTACTAGGACAAAAGATTGTCCAACCATGCTTGACACGCGCCTTACCGGGAGTACAAATACCCGTGGTGCTTGTGTTCTTTGACGTAGTGTAGCTGCAGCGTGAGCTCGAACTTGCGGAACCATAAAATCGGGTCTGTCTTCCTCGAGTCGCAGAAGATCTCCTGCCCATAGAACTTTGGAGCTATCTTGCGCAGTTCCCAGCTCGAGTGGTTGGCGGCAGTACAGATCCGCTTTTCCAACTGTTGCGTTGCGGTTTGCTGTAACTGCGCGCCGTCCTTGAGGGAGCCGACGTCAATCTCCAATGCCTCGAGGCGATCGGAGGTGTTGGAAGAGCTGCAATCGGGGGCGGCGACAGGTCGCTGCTCCAACTGTCGGAGGCGGCCGTGGACTCGATTCAGCGCGCCGTCGAGGATGTGGATGTCCTCCTGCTATGTAATGCATGTTGCCAGGAGGTCCGTGGGATGGGGGAGAAGTAGAGCGATCTTGTTTTCACTCTCTTCCATCTTGCCATTCTCGGCCTCGGCCCGCCAATCTGCTGCCATTGTGAGCAAAGCTTGCTCTCCGCTGAATATCTTCTCGCGACATTGAACTCGTTCTTCATCGGCAGCCTTTGTTGTTGCCTCGTCGTGTTGGCGTTGCTGTTCAATTGCCAACAGACGTGCCTTCTCGGCGTCCTCTGCCTTCTGCTTCGCTGCGGCTGCTACTGCATCCGACCGTTGCTTAGCTTCGGTGATCAGAAGCAGCATCCGTGCCTGATCGGCCTCGTTCGTTTCCCTGGATATCTGGTCCATGACGGCTGTTTTCGAGCGAGTAAGCATAGATCAGGCTAGGGCCTGCTGGCGTGGTACTCCCTGCTACTGACGTGGCACTGCTGTCAGCTGACGTGGCCTGCTGACGTGTCCTGATGACGTGGTCTGCTGATGTGGCCTGCTTACGTGGCAACTCACCAATGCCGCCGCAGGGGGTATCCGGAGACAGATAGAGAAGGTAAGACCAGAGGGGGTAACAACATAGGTGGGGAGGGGTGGGTGGGATAATCGCCCAGATAACGCCCAGATAAGGAGCCACTAATAAAAAAAAAGTTTGAACTTTGCAAAACAAAATTTCGAGAAAATAAAAATCCCGAGTTTTGCAAGTTCAGTAGGTCTCCCAACCTCCCTCGAAGTGCGAAAGTATCAATGAGAAAAAAAAATTTGAACTTCAGACTGCCAATGATTATCAGGTAGTCAAAATCATAGAATTGCGAATATTTTTTTTTTCAAAAAGAAATAACAAGTATTCGGACTTATTCATATGAGAGTATTCGCAGTTTGGAAAATGTTACTGCAAGAGGGACTTCCCGTTCCGTTTTCATGAAAACGAATTTCGAAAAAAAATATTTCGAATTTCCAATAATGGGAAATTGCAAAAGGAGATCAAAATTTTCGAGAAAAAGATATTTCGGATTTCCAACAACGAAATTTTGGATTTTCCGAAGAAAAACGAAAACGGAAATTTCAGATGTTGCGCTATTACGATTTTCCATAACAGAAATAGCGAGAAAACGAAATCCAAGGAAAGAAAAAAAAAATTTGATTTTTGGCAGTGAGGTAAAAATCGTGATTTGGGGGGCTAACTAGTGTTGTAATCAATCAATCAAGACTAATCAGCTACCTAGTCCTCGCACACGTGTCCGATCAGGTTGTCCCGATTGACGTGCGGTGTTCCGATACCAACTGTTACATGCCAGTTGGGCGATGTACATATAAATCGAGGATCCGCAATGTGATAAAAAGGACTAAATGAACAATGCAGTGCAACTGAAATTTCAACAACCAATGTGCATTCCGATACATACAAAGTGGTGCTTTATAGCGCAAGGAAGGCTTTCGATACAAGTCCTGACCTGATCGGGACTGGCCTCTTTTATGTAGTACAAGATAACGATGCAGGATGCTAGAACACTAATGACTAGCCCACTCAATGTTTCCACGCAGACCAACGTACATCATGCTCATCACAAGGTGAAATGGGGCCTGGCGCTATACACAGGAAGGAGGCGCCAGGTCCAGACATACATAGACGAAGAGGAAGGGGGAATGGGAAAGTCGTCAACACCAAGTCTCGTTACAAGTCTCAAATAATCCCTCTTCAAAATGTCTGAAGTCCAATGTCGAGTCTAGATCCAAATGTCACCAAACTCTCTCTCTCTCTCTCTCTCTCTCTCTCTCTCTCTCTCTCTCTCTCTCTCCCTCTATCTCTATCTCGTAGTCTGCTGATGCAGTGAAGTCGGATAGCGAGAGGGTGAGAAGGAGATGGTGGACTGAGAAGAGGAAGAAGAAGAACTCTCTCTCTCCTGTGCCAGGAACTTACTTGTGAAGATGGCGGTGTGCTGCAGGTACCTCGAAGACGAAGCTGGAGCAATGGCGCCGCAGATAAGTCCCTCTGGCCTCCGCCCAATCTCTCTCTCTCTAATACTACTCTAGCTGCTATGGCGCCCAGCGCTGAAGACTACAGCTAACGCTACTAGCGCCCAGCGCTGAAGACTACTTACTGCTAACGCTGCTACTACTCCTGCAGCGCTCCTCCAGAGTGCTGCTCCCGAATCCTGAAGACTACCTCCTGCCTCCTAAAGTGCACGTGAAGTGCCTGGGAAGTACCTAGGAACTATTTGCCTGCCTGCAAGGCGGGCCAATCCTATATAGTGCTCCGTCCAAGAGGCTGCTCTTGCCAATGCCGAAACGTGCCAGACCCTGGCGTTGAAGCTCAACCAGGGGTTGTCTTGAAAACAGGCCCGAAATGACATGTGCTAAAACCCTGGTTTGTTGCTCGAGTTTCAGGGCATATCGAACCGATGAGGGCCCGAAAATGGCCCTCAGTTTCAGGCTGAAAACGCTCAGGGTAGGAAAGGCCCTGATTTAGCCTGAAACGACCTAGGGCCTGTAGGCCCTTGTTTTCAGGCTTTTAGGTTGAAACGACACAGGGCCTGTAGGTCCTTGTTTTCTGGCTTTTGGCCTGAAAACGTCACGGGCCTGGAAATGGCCCGTGCAACCTGTTGCGGGCGCAGCATGTAACACGTCATGTTTGCGCAACTGTTGTAACATGGTTTGGAACGACTCCTGTTCAGAGGCACTGAGCAGCTTCCGTTCGGGGGCTCCAATGTACACGATCTTCGTCATGTGCGTATGTGTTGAAGGGAGTGAGAACACAAAGCAAAAACCATGTACAAAGAAAAGTCACATGTACACATAGATACAAAGTTAGAAGATATAGAGCGTTTGATGAGAATGTGTTTAGAAAGAAAAAGAAATTGGAAAGTGGGCGACAAAAATCCATTCATCAAGCAGGAGATGAAATCGTTCACAGTTTAAAAGGTGGTGAACATTTAACATTTAGCGCGAGTATGTGTACATGAAGAAAGTGTTATAGTTGAAGAATTTATTTACGGTCAATATGCATCCATAGTGGTTCACACTCTTTACTGTACATGTGAGTATATGTATCGGGAAAAAGTCTTTTAGTGGGGAAAGTGTCTCTCTTGTCTATTTCTATTTCCCTCGTTCCGTCTATAGTGTCGGTTTTGTCTTAGTGGCCATGTATGTACACTATCTACTGCTCACCGGCTTCCCAACCAACAATTTTGGTAGCACCATGTCTTTTCCGATGAGCGATGTTCTCGGGCAAGCAGGCGATCATGTCTCCAATCTCGGAAATGTAGTCACGTTGAATGGTTATCGTGTAGGCGTCTCTTGAGCTTGGAGAAGTGTGATGGCTCGACGAATGATGTCAGCCCTGAAAGTGGGAAATGGAGGGAGGGTATGCTGTGTTTCTTGATGGTCGAGGAAAATGAGATTGCTCAAGTATTCCCATGTGCGAGGCAGGTGGGGATGTTGTAGATTTGGAAGGTATGGCGAGATGCGAGAAGGTCATCAATGAGGGCGGTGGATCTTGTTGTGCCCCATGGTCTAGCGGAAGCCACCAAAGGGGGTCCGCTTCATGAGGTGCATGGGGTTGTAATGGTGATTGGTGTGGTGGTGGAGCGTTTGCAATGAAAGAGTGTTTATGGTGTGCAGTGGTGATACGCTCATACTAGTACTGCGGGCGAGGTGTTCTCGGAGAACGAATACGGTCGTAGTCATCGTTGATGAGCTTGAGGAGGAACGTTTTTGCACGCTGGAGTTGGATGTTGATGTTGGTGGAGGGGTCAGGGCGTTGTAGAGATCGTATTCGGTTCTGTTTGTAGAGGGTGAAGAAATCATAGAGGTGATGAAATCATAGAGGGTGAAGAAATCATAGAGGTGAAGAAATCATAGAAGGCAGCGTGATCAGTTGTGAGGAAGTCCTCCCACAATATTTGGGTGATGATGTGTTCGATGTTGTCTTTGGTCAGTAACCGGAGCCAGTCATCCCATCTATGAGGAGCAAATGATGAAGTGGCAGGGTGGGCAATTGTGGAAGTGGCCAAAGGAGCGGATTCGGGATTTATTGAAGGCAGGTGAGTAGTCGCGAGTGTTGTTGCGAGGTGGCGGGAGGAGGAGGTAGAAGGGGGTAGCGAAATTTGTGTGAGGATATCGTCATCGAGGCCAATTTGTGATAAGGCTGGCAACGATGTTTGTGGTAAGGTAGTACTGGCAGCAAGAAGAGTTGTTGTAAAAGCGGAAGTGGTGGTAGTTGCAGATGTTGATGTAGTTGCGCTTGTAGTCGTTGTTGCAGGCAGCGTCGCAGGTTCCGGAGATGAAGGTATTGATGATGACGACTTCAATTTTTTGGGCGACGGCTTGTCTTGGGGGACACCTGCAGGGAAAGTGAAAAAGAGAATGTGGTTAAAAGTGAAGACCAGTAATTTAAGTGAGAATTTCTTTATATATTATATTAGCAGTTTGGTTAGTGTTTGCAGGGAGAGAGAAGCGAATGTGTGTTGGGTCACCTACCCTCGATGCAGCTACGTAAAGTTGGCCTTGTGCAAATGGTGTCTGTTGGAGATCGACGCAAGCATGTTTAATTGGGACGGGCGAAGGAGCGGCAAGTTTGTATCTAATGTTTTTTATAGTGTTTCTTTGTCATAGGAAGTTTCATCTTCAATAATTTGTGGAATGTTACGACGATAGGGTGTTTCACCAGCAGTTTAATCGTCAATGTGTGGGCGGATCAGGCCAACGTCTTCGAGTTGTTTTCCTTCTTTTTGCAGGCGGTTATCGATATCCAGAAGGATCATGGTTCTAATGAGGGGGAGAGGAACATCCGCATCACGAAGGTCTCTTTGGAAGTCTTCAATCATTTGTTGCCAGTGTGTTTCAAATAGTTCGATAGGATCAGTCGGTGCACAGTGCAAAAGTATGTGGACTAACAAATCTTGAACCATCACAGAGGATGCAGTAAAGATTGCATCTTGTAAGACAACAACAAATTAAGTATCATCATTGAGTAAGCTTAATGCACGACACGTTGAGTGATATGTCGCGTGAATTTCGTTATCGACAGTACGTAGGCTCTCAAACGATGTGGCTCGTCGGAAATGGGGTAACAAAAGAAGCATTGGGAGATAAAAATTATCACCTGCGTTCAGGTGAATCGTGTGTATTCGCCCAATCGTGTTTGTTTTCCGTTGTCGTAACACCCGTTTTTTTTTTGCTTTGTCATGTCAGAATTGTTGGATCATATCTTTGTATAAAGGTTTTCTTTCCAGGGCAATATTAATGTGTGTAGCGTTCCATTTAAACCATGCGGTAAACTCGGTTTTTGGTGGAGGCATATTTCTCAGACGTCGAGTACCTCTTGGTCGGAAATAAACTTGTTGTTTATTTTCAGCATGTACAGGCAGTGCGGCAACAGCAGGATATCGTTCGAAAAGAGAAAAATCAAAGATTCTCCAACATGCTTCGGCTGCACCGATTGGTCGCATGTCTTGAAATGTTTGAATTTCGTCATTAATGTTTGTCATTCGTCCACCATGGCTCGATCCGGGCCTTTCATAATGTATTCGAATATATACTGGTAAGCGGCGGTGGAGGCACAAATTTCGACGTTTAGATGACAACAATAACCCAAAAGGAGGAAGGGGTTGTAGGGAACAACCCAAAAGTTATCGATTCCATCGTTTTTACGTACGACAGCTGTCCCTCCATTGTCTCGGGCTCGGCGACAGTATATGGGATTAGCCCGTTTCTTCGTTTCATTTTGTACGGTCGGAGAATTCTTTCGGGAAGTGATGAGCGCAGCGATCATTGCGCATGCAGGGAGCTTGCATATTGAAGGGGCCACACGGGTTATGTATCATGTGTGTTAGCACGGGTTATGTATCATGTGTGAAGGATCGGGTTTGTAGCGACTTCAGCGCAAACTATGGAATCAATTTGTTCAGGTGTCGAAATTTTGTATTCATTACTAAATGTGACAACTAAGTGTACATGTGGGAGACCTCGTTTTTGAAATTCTATGACGTATATATATGCTGCAGCCGGACCAAATATGTGTGTATTATGAATGTCGTGAATGAGTTGTTGTAAATAACCTTTCAAAACTCTGTCGAGGAGGTCTGATCTATCGGACGGTTGTTGATGAGGAAAGAGATGTTGTTCAATTTCGAGCCAAGTGCGAATTGCAAGTTATTGTGATAAAAATATTTGAGGGACCGTATTTTTGGTCTTCTGCCATAAAATCTTGATATCGTCGATGCATGTCTCTCGGGGCGCCGACCAATGTGGCAGGTAAAATAATACGTTGCCCGACATTTTCAGCATTATTGTATTGCATAAGGTGGTCATGAATATTCAAATAGAGTTCAACGCGAATTTCGGTTTGATGAAGCCTATTGTATAATAATCAGTCATTTTCTATCTTTGCGAATGCCATGCATACATACTCTTGGAATAATCGTGAGGCTCGAAATATCGTTGTCCTTTCGGTGTCTTGGGTGTTAAGGTAGAAGGCGTAAAACTCTTGTGCGGTGATTTCTTGCATGGAAGAATTTTCTTCATCATCGGTTTCGAGAGTATCTTCACCTGATGGGAATAAGGGAACGTAATGTAGAGGATCGAAAACGCGGTTGGTTTCGTGAATTTGGACAATACCTCCACCGCGTCGCTGTATGACAATGTCGCAATTGGATGGTTAGTTCCAAAAAACCTTGAGGGTCTATTGTATCTTCGTTCATGTTTGTCAATGTTGCGCATCGATATTGATCAGGATATGTCGCTTGTGAATCATATTGTCGGGAAGTTCGGAAACTGTTCTGAAATCTCGCACCCAACGGTTACATTTAATAAGGAGGTGGTGGAGCTTTCGCAAAAGATGTTTAATTTGTTGGACCGTTGCGAGCGGGATTTCGAGTGGGAGGTTGAATCTAATTAATCGTATGACATTAGCATCATGTTCATCCTACGGGTCGTATATGTATAGTTGGGCGAAAGCGCGCTCATGGCCAACATCCGGTATAAGCGGTCCGAGGTTTTGCCACAGCTGAACAACAATTCTCACCATTACAGTCCAATCTCCTGGAGGAGGTTGTGGTTCTCGGACAACTTGTGATGCAAGTGCATTATTGAATTGTCGTGCACGCGGTCGCAACAACCGTCTTTGTGGTGTGTCAATTTCCCATAAACGAAGGATTTGGTCATCAGGTGTGTCGGCTGGTGGGGTATTGCCAGAGCGGCGGATGCACTTTGCCTTTTCGGCAACAAAGAGTTGTTCCGGTGTGCTCGCGCGGCCATTTCTCTGCACCAGAATGTGCGCATTGTGTTCTATCTCCGAGAGCATATATATCAGTTGGTATATGTCGTTGAATAATTGATGCGATATGTTTTCACGCACTGTTTTGTCGGGGGGGGGAAAGTGGTCAATGTGTGACTGTCTGTATCGGCGACAACATTCAACGTTCACAATTCGAGCTCTTCGCGCGGCAGCGCGTGATGATTCGCCTTTGGAGAGGACACGAAAAGGTCACATAGATAACAGTCATGCAAGGCACATAGAAAACAGAAAACAAAGTGACATGATAGGATTGATAGCAAACGGAGTCGATACATAAAACACACATGTGTCATTTAGATTCGCGGAATATAGAGTGAGCGAGAGTTCAATTTTTGTTTCCAGTAAAATGGGGAAAAAAAAAAAGATAAAAAGAGCCATTAGCCCGGGGCTTTCATGATCCTTGCACGACCACACCATGCGGGACTTGATTGATGGTGGAACATTCAGAGTGTAAGTATACGAGAAACCATGTACACAACAGGGAATGTCGAACGTATACGGATAGCATATGGAAAAAAAAATGAATGAAAAGAAATTGAATGAAAAGAAATTGAATGAAATTAAATTGAATGAAAAGAAAATGCCGGTGGGTATTGGCACCCCGACCGGTTTCGACAACCGCCATGTTGTCCTCCTCAGGGGGATTACCTCCTACTTCTCCTTCAAAACTTCACCAAACTATCCACTCTCCCACCTCCGCCGTTATCGCCCACCGACATCTCCGGACATACCGACAAGCTCTACGACGTCGGACCCGAAAAGACCTAGTGACGTTTCTATCATCCTAATCTGCGTAGCACGACGAACGTGTTCGCGCCCCTTCACGTTCGTGCGAACGTGTTCGCACGTTGGTGCTAACAGCTAGCAAACATGTTCGGGTGAACATAATTTTTTTCGTAAAAAACAATTATAAAATAAATCGGTTTTTGATTTTTAACTCATGATTGGTTCCGAATTTGAACATGACTCCAAGGCAGAAGTTGCTTGTATTATTATTTTACATAATATATATTTTTTCCAGATTTTTCTGAGGCCTTTTTTCTTTATGTTCGCGTTCGGAGGGTTTTGGGCGCTTGTTCACATTCGGGCAAACTTGTTCGCGTTCTCCTCCGAATGTGAACACGGTGCTACGTAGATCCTAATTATAGTCCTCAGAAAAAAAGACAGTCTGGTCCCAGCCAAAAAACGTCGCGTGTATCAAGCGACAAACAAGTGGTACCATACTGCGACTTGTCGCACGACCAAACAGGGACCTAATGCAAGATGGTACCATCGTAAAAGGAGAACCAAAGTTGAAACCAAACCAAAATTAACCAGGTGGACTACCGTATCGAAAAACAAAAAAACCGGTACTCCAAAACGGAAAAGCACACAACTAACTAGACAGTCAACAACCTATTGTAAAGTATCCAGTTAAACCAAAAACAAAAAACAAAAACGAAGCAAAGAGCCAAAAGTCAAAACGCCAAACTGCTACATCCAAAACGAAAGGCAAACGACAACCCTGTCTTCTCATAAGCCGACAAATAACCCTGTACTCTCATAACTGCTACATCCGTTAAACAAAGGTAAATCCGACTCACGTCTGTTAGCAAAACCGACAAAAAACTATAAAGGAACAACAAAGGTGACAGTAAACAAAGAGCAAACCCTGTCCTCTCGTATCCAGTGCACAGAGCAAATCAAAAGGAACAAACGAACAACTTCACTGTGACAGGGATGAAATAAAACAGGGATCCAAATTACTCATACAACCACTGATATGTCCAGGTCCAGATGGGGTCTCTGCCCATAGCAAAACGTTTCAAGACTTTCTTCAGGAAATTCTCCGGAAAACTTTTAATCCGAAGTTCTCGCTGCACATTGAGGACTCGCCTGGGAATGGCTGCTGTAATATTTGTGTTCCGATTGATGCAGTGCAGGATACCGCCGACAACAGCACTCTTTTGTTCTTTGCTTGACCACGAGTGAAAGGTTTGCCCGTTCTTAAATTCCAGACAGTTGTCCTGCCACATTGAGTCTTCGTTCTTTGAAGACTATAGCACCTCACATATGGTTGCATCGTGTCCACACTTATGTTAGTGCCCAAAAAGTCCCAGATGCCCTTCCCTTCATCTGTCCGTTTCAACTTCAGGTTGGCGGGGTAGCAGCGCTCAAACTCCTGCTTAATCACTTGCACCGGTATACGCCTGTTGGCATCCTGGTGTATCAGTAGATTCACATCATTCATGAGTCTGATGCCAAACACATCCAATCTTTGAGTCCCTAGGCTTTGCAGAAACTTGAACTCAGCGTACGAGCACATGAGGCACGCCAAAAGTGGGTTGGAGTTTTTCCCCATCGCTACACCTACAACTTGCCGCAAGATAACACCTGTAGCCTTAGATTATGTGTGTTGGCGTTCCCACCTTACAAACTTACTGATGTCTGAGAAAGTCAACTCTCTCCAATAGTCGTCGCCTGTGGTGAAGCCATGTGAGCACCCCTTACCTCTTGTGTTCACTCGTATCGACTTGTGGCCTTTGCGCGAGTGATAGTCCAGAACCCAATCGACAACCATAATAATCTCCTCATGAGGCAGCTTGCTGAACGTATCCTTTATGTCATAGGACATGGATATCAGCTCAGAGTCGTTGCGCATACGTCGCGACAACTTACTGTTGATTCGTTCCAGTTCTGGTACTAGATGCGAAACAACTTTGAGGTTGAAATGCCAGTCACGTGGTAGAAAGGAAAGCATGTGGTTCAGTGCCCTAGTTGTGGCTCTGCTGGTGCGCACTGCAGGTTCAACATAAGTAGGACAAATAGGCCTATATCTAGATAGGTCCTTGTGTTTAGGCAATACATATGCCTCACCGATCTGCCATTTCTTATCCCACCTCACGAATTGTTGCCTCATCTCTCATTGAAGACAGGATCTCAGACTCCGTACGATCTTCAATAGTATATCCTTCTGAAAACACAAAAGTGTCCAACATGGCCTCGTAATACACTTTAGGGCATAGCACCAGGGTTTCCCCTGTGTTCCTATCCAACGACGTAAAAACTAACCCCTTCAACATCGTTTTGACCTGCTTAACTTCTCCTGGATCCAATAACATATCTTTCCCCTGTTGTTTGACTAACATGCATCTTTCGACATCCTGTCTAGTAAGCACGACGTCCTTCCCCCTCCAGTTGGGCCAAGAGTGAAAACAGCCCTTCAATTCCTGTACTAGAAGACCCTGTTGGTCCGGGTGAGTAAGTTTCGGAATGTTGTTCGCGTTGCACATGAGTGGATTGATACCTTCCAGCTTGTGCAAACAGACTTGCACATGACCTCCTACCTTCGGTAGGGAAGATCTGCACAGGCGAAAATCAACACATCAACTTTCACAAAAACGAGTTGATTTTGTAGTGTGTCTTCAACTGATGGATTCATGTTCCATACTATACGAACCGTGTTACGTGGAACATCCTTAATGCATCGCGGGATATCAGCAACCTCTAGCACATCGTTGACGACCTTCCTAATCTCAACTAGACGCACTCGATCATCGAATTCCAGTCTTACTACAATTCTAGCACTAACATTCCAACCAAAATTTCCATTAACCGTTCTCGAGACTAATCGACGTAAGTACGCGGTAGTCGAGGGTTTTTGGAAATTAGTGGCAGCCTTTAGCAATCGAATTAGCACATCTAAACTGCATTTCTTCAGGGCTTGCATTCGCTTCGGGTTACGGAGAAGCGAACACAGAAAAGGTTTATCCGGGCCCGATTTTGGTTTCCAGCGTCTGAGTTGGATAATCTTCAAGCAAATTCCCTCCTGCAGCTCTAATTTGCACTGATAGAGCTTTTTTGTGTTGACCCTGTAACAGGACTTCGGAATTCCCGAATGCAGATTTCACCGACTTTTAGCCACCACACCAATTGTCCCCTTTAGTAGTGTGTAGAGGAAACTTACGTAGATTAGATGCTTCCTGCTGGGCTAGTATTTTAAAGACGTCGGCTGACCATACTCCACTGTCATCGATACTCGCCCTTACCACATTCACTTGTTTCCCATCAGAGGTACGTAAATTCTCTTTATAGCGCTCCCGTTTCCCTTTCCGTTGCCGAGTCCATTTATGGCTAGTAGCGATCGACTTACCCGAGCTATTAAGTATGTGGGACCAAATTTTGATATACAGCAGTTCTAGTGTCTGTAGCTCATCCGACTTACATTCATCGATAGGCAGCAATGTGTAAGATTCGGAACAGAAGGAACACCACCATCGGTACAGATGAGATTGTTTACAGCCACTACCGCAGACCGACAAATGTTCTCTCCATCTCACCTTACCCTCACGCTTAGTTTGACCAATATATTGAGTACGACAAACTGCCGATGTCAGAACATAGACCCCAACTAAATCATCACTAAACATTTGCATACCATAGCGCTAATACAATTTGAGCCACGCTTATTCAAATTTACGTAACCATTTGATCTGATGACAAAGTCCAAGCAGGACTATGACCATACGATACAACACCTCAATGCGATCATCATAATCACGTCCATTGCGAATGGCGATTAGAGTCTTACCCAATCTCCAAAAATCATAGGTCGTTCAAGTATCAGTTTCAGCATCGCTGTCATTTTCCTCCTCGGCAGCTGCCTGCTCGGCAGGATCCTGTACTCGCTCACCTTCCGCTACGTTGTCTTCGTCGTCGGATCCATAGGCCAGCTGCGCTCTCTTTTCGGTAATCGCCATGATAGCGTCCATTTTCTTACCACCAGAAAATAACACGTCTTCGTCACGACAGATTTGCTTGAGTTTCTCAACGGTGCGTTGACCCAGGTCACGCAAATTATCCGCAACATATTTCAGTTTACCTGCAGGTCCGATTGTGGCCGAGATCTTCTTCTTGCTGCATGATGCACGAACTGGTGGAACGCCTCCTGGTGATCTCTTCAACGGCCGATGACGACAGCTGAGCACAAGGCGTTTAGGATGTAATTTGCATTGCTTCGCATGTCGTTTGGCCGGTGTCATCATTGGCGAGCTGTCGCCAATCTCCTTCTCAGCACTGTGTTTACACTTCTCTTGAATATTGAGTTACTCCGCTTGCGCACTAAGAGCTTCGGCATCACTATCATCGAGTTCTTCAGATGCCTCCGGTGACAGCACTTGCGCTTTCCCTTTAGACTTCGTAAGTAGCGATTGTAGCAGAACCTCTTTCATCTCCTTTGCTACTCCACTCACATGCTTCCTAATTTCCATCCCTAGGTCTTTGCGCATTGCTTCCCTTGCTTCCAATTCGCTTCGCTTCTTCTCTTCCTTCTTCTTAGCGCGCCTTGCCTTGAGTTGACATTCTTCCTCCTCCTTCTGCTCACGTTCTCTTTGTTCTTGTCTGCGAAGCCCTTTCTCCTTCTTCGCCAATTTTGCTTCATCCTTACGGGCTTGTTCTGCGTCGATGTAGGCCTTCACGTTCGCCAGCGTACTCTTGAGTTCTTCCAATTCCTTCGTGATGATCGGCTCTTCTGATGCAGACCTTCGTGTGCCAGTCTTCGCATGCTGACTTAGGGAAAAAGATTGTCCTCGTTGACCGCCAGCACCATAACTGCTTTCACCCACTAGTCGTGGGGATTGATTTTTATAATGCCCCGGTTCGGCGCAGTTATAACAAACAGGAACAAATCGGCGGGCTGAGTCTCCATGGGAGTAGCCATGTGAGTAATCGCGACCTTGTGTATGTCCTCCCTCAAAGCGGTCTCTCTCTCCATCTCTATTTCGGTCACGCTCTCCATCGGATCTTCCCTTGCGGCGGTCATCTCGATAGCAATATCTATCGCGGCCATGGTCCGGGTCACATCCATAGTCTCGACTTCCGTAGCCAGCCATTCAATCTTGGAGTGAAATGCACTTCAACACCAAATTGCCCCCTTGATGGGCGCAGCACGTGCGTAAACCTTGTCCAAAGTACTTTGAGTCGAAAACAGCATCAAGTAAGCACTACAACAAAACTGTAGAGTCACACTTCGTAGCATGTTCACACAAGCTCGGCAACTTCCGAACCGGTTCACATGAGCCTTCGAGATTTGATTGATGGTGGAACATTCAGAGTGTAAGTACACGAGAAACCATATACACAACAGGGAATGTCGAACATATGCAAATAGTATATGAAAAGAAATTGAATGAAAAGAAAACGCCGCTGGGTATTGGCACCCCGACCGGTTTCGACAGCCACCACGCTGTCCTCCCCAGGGGGATTACCTCCTACTTCTCCCTCAAAACTTCACCAAACTATCCACTCTCCCACCTCCGCCGTTATCGGCCACTGACATCTCCGGACATGTCAGTAGGCTTTACGACGTAGGACCCGAAAAAACCTAGTGACGTTTCTATCATCCTAACCTGCGTAGCATGGCGAACGTGTTCGCGCCCCTTCACGTTCGCACAAAAAAATATATATATTAAAAACTAATAAAAAGTAAAAAAAAAATCGGTTTTTGATTTTTAACTCATGATTGGTTACGAATTTGAACATGACTCCAAAGCAAAAGTTGCTTGTATTATTATTTTACATAATATAATTAAATATATATATTTTTCCAGATTTTTCTGAGGATTTTTTTTTTTTTTTTTTTTTATGTTCGCGTTCGGAGGGTTTTGGGCGCTTGTTCGCGTACGGGCGAACATGTTCGCGTTCGCCTCCGAACGCGAACATGGTGCTACGTAGATCCTAATTATAGTCCTCAGAAAAAAAAGACAGTCTGGTCCCAGCCAAAAAACGTCGCGTGTATCAAGCGACAAACAAGTGGTAACATACTGGGACTTGTCGCACGACCAAACAGGGATCTAGTGTCAGATGGTACTATCGTAAAAGCAGAGCCAAAGTTGAAACCAAACCAAAATTTACCAGGTGGACTACCGTTGTAGCAGACCTCTGGTTGGCCTGTGAGACCAGCCCCTTGGCCTGTTCTCACATGCATGTGTTGTATTTGGGGTAGTCATGTCCAGGCCGGTACCTCTGTCGGTACCAGCCAGTCCAGTCCAGTCCAGTCCAGTCAGTCTACTGGGGTATACCCCAGTTGTTGTCTGTTTTCTGGATCATTCTACATTCGCACACTTTGGAGTACGTGCGTTGGAGTCTAGCGTGGGGAGCTGCGCTGTGCCATCTCGCTCCCCCTTCTTCCTCCATCTCCATCTCAATCCCAGGTGGAGCACCACACCTGGTGGGTCCGCCACACTGGTATCGGAGCGGGAACGCTCCCACCCGCCACACCGCACAGCAGGGAAAACAGCAAAACCCGACAGTGGGGTTTTTCGCTGTTTTTTGGCTGCCCGCAGCGGAAAACAGCGGGAAAATTTGAGAAAAGGTGCAGTAGTAAGGAGCTGCCACGTGGTGCGAAAAGAGGAGTGGCGTCACGACGCGTGCGTGCCAAGGCCAAGGCCGCCGCACACACACCCACACTGCCCCCGCTGCCCTGCCCCGCCCGCTCCCGGATTTTATATTATCAAGATTTGGGATGCACGCTGCCACCAGGGTTTGAACCTGGGCAGTCGCTTGCTATGCGCGTGCGTAGCTGCTGCTATGACACACTCGCCACAGTGTGTTTATGGTTGTGTAGTGCGGCACGCAGCTGTTGAAGAGGTGCATGTCAGCTATTTATCCCCCCCCCCCCCCCCCCCCCCCCCCCGCCACCAGCGCCCCAACGGCCGGGCTGCTATTTGCCCCCCCCCCCCCCCTCCTCGTGACTGCTCCTGCCCGCGCACGTGGCCATCTGCAGTGCCACGTGGCAGCTTGCTGTGGAACTGAAGACCCCCCTGCTTAGGGGGCTGCTCTACACTGGTGAGGGTCTGCTCACACAGCATACCCTAGATCTGCAGATCTGCTGTACTGCTGCTTGGGGCTGATCAAGATTTCAGCCCCCCTCTCTCCTCCAGCTGGCTTGCGGCAGCGAAGGCCAAGACCCTCCTGGTCTTGGTATACCTTTTGCCCTTGGAGACACCAAGGGTCCGGTATCACCTCTCTCTTCCCTCTCCCTAGCAACCCACTTCCTTCTAATCACTCTCACTACTCATACCCCTCTCCCCACCCCACCTTTTCTCCCACCACCCACTATTTACCTTATTTTATTCATCTATTTTCTTTTCTTTCTCCTCTTTTCTCTTTGCTTCTTGATCCCTCCTCACCTTCCCTTCCCTTTCTCTCCCATTCTCTCACCCTCTTCTTCCCCAACTACAACCCATCACTTCCCTCATCTCCCCCTTCACTCTCCCACCTATTTCTCTCTTTTCTCCTTCACTTTTTCATCCCTCCTTCCCTCCTACTTCGAATTTTTTTTGTTTTTTTCTTCTTTCTATCTTTCTTTTGATTTATCTTTCCTCTTTTTTCCAAAAATTCGAATTATCTCATCCCCCACTTTCTTTTCTTCTTTTCTGATTTATTTCATTTTATTTATATTTTATTCTGAAAATTCGAATTTCCTTGCGGCACCCTTAAATCTGATTAGGAGTTAGTCATTCTTGCTTTCGGCACACATTCTGATCCCGTGGGGGTAACGAAGTGCTGCCGAAATTTTCTGTTTTTCTTTCACTGAGTTTTTTCGGCACACTTCGACCCCATGGGGGTAACGGAATGCTGTTGAAATTTTTGAAAAATCCAACACTTAATCTCTCTTCACCTCCTCATCTATTTATTTATTTATTTATTTTGAATTTTTTAATCTACGGCATTTTGAAACCTAGTGTGCTCATCTTGGTCTCTCCTTTCCCTTGGCACATTCTTGACCCCATGGGGGGTAGGGAAATGTTGCCAAAAATTCTAAAAAAATAAATATGATTTTTCTCTTCACATTTTATTTCCTTATTTCTTTAGTTATTTTTATTCTTTATGTATTTATTTTTATTTTTCTCACGAAATTTGACTGTTTATTTATTTTTCTCCCGCCTCCCCCATTCTTACTATTTTATTTTCTTGATTAGGTCATTGGTACCCTACCCTAATCACTCAAACTCGGGTTAGGGTTTCCTTAGGGTTTTTCTAGGGTTTAGGGTTTTTCTAAACCCTCTCCTACTCCCCCCTTTCCATTCGGGCACACTGGACCCGAACCACCCTTCCCCCTTTGCGGGCACCCGCGCTCGACTCACTAGTGTCGCCCGTCGCTTTCTACCGCGGAGCCCCCCCTACGCCCTCCGCTCACGCGGACCTCCTCTGGCCCCCTCCAGTCTGGCCCGTCACCTCCCCATGGTCGACGACGTGTCACAAGTCGCCGACGCGGTGACGACCTCGGCACCAGGCTCCATACCCGTGCCGGCGGACCAGGGCCATCAGCCCCAGGGGGTTCTGCACACCCTCCTCACCTCCCTACTTGCGTCCTTACAGGCCCAGGTGGGACTCTTGTCGCTGGCCTGCGGCAACTCCAGGACGCTGGCCGTCCTTCCTCTCCCCTCTCTCTCTCTTCTCCTGGCTCCCAGTCCGGGTCCCCCGTCCTCCGACATGGTGGCCACAAAGGAGCTTCCTCCTTTGTCGCCCCCGACCCGACCATCCTGGTGACCGTCCTCGCTCCTAGCGAGACGACCGCCATGGCCCAGACCCTCCCTCACTCTACGGGTGCACCCGCCCAGATTTCGGTCACTACGGCCATGGGACCATAACCCGCTGCCATGGTCTCATCTTTTCCGGGTGCCCTGCTTCTCCCTCCCCTTCGCACGACCGCAGCGCCACCTGGCTCTCCCCCCTGTGGGATGCCCCGCGCCGCTCGTGCGCCCACCTCCCCACTCTTCCTCCTGCCACTCCTCGCTCAATTTACGTTCGACGTCTCGAGGACGAGCTTGCCTAGACCCAGGCCAACCTCGCCCTCTTACGCCTTCAAGCACCCCTACCCTCACAGGTGGCCACGCCTTCGGGCGCACCTCCTTCTTCCTCTCCTCTTCCTTCCATGCAGGCTCGCTTCCCTTGCCCTGCACCCTATCCATCCCCATCCTACCTTCTTCCTATTCCCTCGGTTGCTGCGACCTCTTCCACCACAGCTCCCTCGTAGCCTGCTGCAGTTGCCCCCACCGCTCCCCCATGTGGCCCGGGCGTACAGTCAGCTGCGCCCCTTTCTCCAGGACCTGCGTCGACTTACTCAGCCGTAGCACAGGCCTCTACTCCTCGATCCCCTCGCCGCCAAAACGGTGGCGCACCACTCGTCCGCTTTGCGGACATTGCCTTGTACGACGGTACAGGGATACGCGTGTCTTGGTGGTTGCAGTCTGCCACCTGCACGCTCCAGCTTGTGGGCGCCCCACCCGACACGTGGGTGGGTCACCTCTCCACGCGCCTGCGTGGCGGTCCTTTCGACGCCTGGGAGGATTTCTACGCGCACTCCCTTCGTGAGGTTCGGACCCCGACCTTCATGGATTTTCAGGCATTCCTCGAGGACCGCTTCGGAGCCCGACATGACGTCACTGACGCCTTCGAGCACGTCGTCAGCATACACTGGTTCGGCTCTGGTGGCGCTGCCAGCTTGGACCACCACATCCAGGTCTCTCAGGACGCCCGCCTCATTTGTGATGTGGCGTTCCTCCCTGAGGCTGCTCTCATCGACCGTTTTTTGGCCAGCCTTCCCCTTGAGTACCGCTCCCAGTTATGGCGGTACGAGTTCACATCGGCCCTGCAGGCCTATGAGGCTAGCGGATGTGGGCCCGTCTTCACCCCGCCTCCTCCTCCCAGCCTCAACGTACTGGCTACGCTCCCTCCTCCTCTCACGACGCTTCCTAGCACCGCTCCCCTTTCCGCGGCCGCTCCCACCGTTCCACGCAGCAGGGCCGCCACTTCTCGCGCCGCATCAGCGTGCTCGAGTATGGTGAGCAGGACGTTGTTGCCCCGCTGTCGCCTGAGGGTGACCATAGTGACGACCTCGACCACGGCGAGGCCGTTCCCTACCACCTGGAGGACTCTACTCTCCTTATGGCCGAGCGCCTCCAGCTCATCCTCTCCGCCCTCTCTCGAGCACGCAGCCGCTCCGGTCACGCTGGGGCGTCGCCCCCTGAGGTCCCTCAACAGAACCTGCCTCAGCGCTTTGTCCCTCCTCGCGGTGTCCAACTACGCTGACCTTTCCCGCCAGCGTTGTGTTCAGTCCCCCCCAAGCCTCGCATCCCTGAGATGCCTCCTAGCCACGATGCAGTGTACACATGCGCCCTCCTCCATAGATGGCTTCTTGACATCTCCGTCGCGGTCCCTCTCACTACTGGAGCTAAGGTATTGCAGGACCCGACAGAGTGTACTCAGCCCTCTGTCGCAGTACCGTCTGCTCCTCCGCAGACCACCATCTCCCCCTCTACCCCTCCGCGACTATCGACGCGTCGAGCCATTCGCTCAACCCGTTGCAGCGAGCAGCTTGCGACTCGCGAGGACGTTATGTCCTCTCTTCTGGACTTTAGCATGCTCTAGGCTCGTCAGGAGTGACTCACCCTCCACGTTGCTGCACTGCGTCGCCTTCTCACCATCCTCTCTGACCCTGATCGCACCCTCCCGATCATTCCAGTATGACTGGGGACTTCCACGAGGGTGTACTCAGCGCTATGGGATTCCGACTCTCAGGGCGACTTCATTCACCCACGTGTGGTGAAAGAAGCCCGCTTACCCACGATAGGGTCTTCGACTCCCATCTCTGTCACCCTAGGGGATGACAAGACCCAGCGCTTCTTCGATCAGACGGTCACCGACCTCCCTTTCTTCCTCACTCTCGAGCCGACTGATCGTTCCCCGGTGTCTCGTCGCCACCGCTCCTCCACACATTTCGATGTGATGCAGACGGGGTACGACTTCATTCTCGGTACTCCGTGGTCTCGTCGGTTCCGCAGCATCGAGGCCGATTGGGCGACCAACACTCTCGTTCTCAAAACCAAGTGTGGAGAGACGTATCGCGTACCTTTCATAGGTACTACCGCGACACCACGCCCGACCCTCTTCCCCCGGAGCCTTCCGTGCCCACACCATCTCCTACTATCATTGTCACCTCACCTCGACAGTTCGCTCACTTCATCCGACATGACGACGTCACCTTCTTTACGGTGAACGTTACGGATCTCTTGCACTATGAACTACTGTGTCCCGACGCCGAGCTCATCTCTCTGGAGCCAGATCCTCCTTCTATCTCCATGGCTCCCATCTCTACTTTCATTCCTCCGTCGTCCGTCGAGTCCACCCCGCCCTCGCGCGCTGACGCTGATGCTAAGGAATTCGCACGCTATACGACCGACCTGGAGCCCGCAGTTCGTGACCTCATTCGAGAGTACCACGACGTTTTCCCATCGTCGTTCTCGTACGCCGGCATCGCGATGCCGAGCACTCCATCCAGCTGGTGCCTGACTATCGTGTTCACCACCAGGCACCCTACAGACTCTCGATCCCCGAGGCTACCGAACTCGAGCGTCAGCTTGAGGAGATCCTGAGGTTGGGTTTCATTAAACCCAACAACTCCCCGCGGGGTACGACTTCATTAAACCCAGCAACTCCCCGCGGGGTACGACTCCCCGCGGGGTGCACCCGTCCTCTTTACTCGCAAAGCGGATGGAACTCTCCGTCTTTGCATCGACTATCGCGGCCTCAACCGCTACACGGTTAAGAACAACTACCCCATGGCTCGTCCCGACGAGTTGTTTGACCGCCTAGCAGGCAACCGCTTATTTACGAAGATTGATCTTCGTAGCGGTGACCATTAGATCCGCGTCGTTGCAGCTGACCAGCCGAAGACGGCGTTCTGATCACGCTTCGGCCACTACGAGTTTACAGTGATGCCATTCGGCTTCATCAACACACCCGCTACGTTCCAGAGGGCGATGAACGACATCTTCAGGGACATCTTGGAGCAGTACGTTCTCGTCTACCTCGACGTTATCCTGGTCTACAGTCGTACCCTTGAGGAGCATCTCGGCGACGTCCTCGACCGCTTGCGCAGACATGGCTTCTACGCCAAGCTGAGCAAGTGCCGCTTTGCCCAGCACAAAGTGGATTTTTTAGGACACTACGTGTCTGACCAGGGTCTCCACATGGACGACGCGAAGATCACTGTTGTTTCGGAGTGGCCCGTCCCTACATCTGTCGAGCAGCTTCACAACTTCCTAGGCCTCACTAGCGACTATAGTAATTTCATCCAGGGATACGCTAGGTATTCCTACGTCCTTACGTCCACCCACCTCTGGAAGAACCCGCCATGGGCTTGGACACCCCTCCACGAGGACGCCTTCCGCGCCCTCAAGAAGGCGGTGACATGTGCACCGATTCTTCGCCTACCCGATTTTGATCGCCCTTTTATCCTTACCACCGATGCGACAGACTTTGTTGTAGGAGCAGTGCTTTCTCATATTTTCCCCTCCTCTCTTGATTCATGTCATCCTCGTATCCCTCGCTTCCCTCCCCCTACCCCTACCACTGCCTCCCGCCTGACGCCTACTTGTCTAGCTACTGACGAGCCTTCTATTGACTATTCTTTTACCATGGTTATACCTCTAGGCCTGGCCATGCCATGCGCCCAACCACCCTCAAATCTGATTTCTCACAACGGGAAGAGCAAACACAAGTCCATTTTCCTTATCTCAGGTTGTGTACACGTCAATGCGTCGGGCGCCTCTGTCGGAATCGCAAGGGTCAATTTAACCCCATACCCGGCACCTCCACAATTTTTTGTAGGGCCAAACCCCGGTAGACTTTCGAGCCTTAGTCGACCCCACTGCGGGTCCCAGTTGGCTCGGCCCGCCCACACTCATGCTCAGGGCGCGGGCCATTCGTCCCAAGGTCACCCCCACCTAGTGCTTTGAGATGGGGATGTAGCTCAGCCCTCACGCCGGGTGGTAGTCTCGCTGTTCGCTCCGCAACGCTGATTTTTTTTTTGATTCTTTATAGTGTTCTCAAGCAATTGCTCCTTCCAATACGCAGGCAGTCCAGGGGTTCTTTGAGCTTTTCTCTTCTCTTGCGCGTAGGCTAAGCGTTTTAGGCCACGCACCATTTCCTTAGGCATTTTGGCTATATGGCGTCATCGGGGTGCGTCGGGGCCGTCCTTCCCCTCGCCTCTACGCATCCATCGGATCTCACAATTTGCTTCCCACCTTATTGAAGTAGGCCCCTTAGTCTTTTCGGGGTCCTCATATGCATGCACAGACAACATCACATTTTCCTTGGTACGATTGCGCTCCCAATCACTCTTCCAAGTCTCAAGTTCAAAAGTCATTTTCATGAATTGGCTCTATGTTAAGGGTCCCATAGCCCCTTTGTCCCTCTTCCCTTTCCCTCTTGGTGCCCAGTTCCTCTCGCCCTTATCCCGCTCAAGGCATCTCTAGCCATTACTCACCTGCACAGTCCCACACAAGCAAGAAGTTCCATACAATATCCCCCGTTGGGGATCAACACATAGCCCTTCCCACATGCCTATTCTTTCCATGCTCTTTGGCTGTGCTTTGTTCCCTCTTTGCTGTTCAATCAGCCCATCCTCTTCTCATAGTCATGCAGTCGGGGAAATGGTTGAGTCAAACTGACCTCACTTTCAACTTATGCTTTCTTCCGGATTCCGCTTCTCCCACTTCCCTTTTTGGACGTCCTCTCTCTTGCATTCTTGGTGGCACAAGGGACCGGCTACCCCCCCCTTGTCCTCTTTCTCCACCAAGTGAGGTCTGATTTCGTTCTCCGCTCGTGCCCTGGCAATGTTTTCCAAGTAAGGGGGGGAGAAGGGTTAGTCATATGCTAAGTGAGGGGAAGGGAGAGAGAGGATCAGATGATGATGTGAGGGAGAGAGAGGGGAAGAGAGAGGGAGAGAGAAAAGGCAAGGGGGAAGAGGAGAGAGGGAGAAAGAGGGGGAGGGAGGGAGAAGGGAAAGGGATAGGGGGAGAGCGAGAGAAGGAAGGAGAGATAGATAGATAGATAGATAGATAGATAGATATATATATATATATATATATATATAGAGAGAGAG